TCCTTTGAGTCCGTGTACTCAGCATGACAACTGTTCCACAGCACATGCATGAGATTGGGTTACCTGAGAAGGTACACTATGTACAAATGGTCTTCCATTTCATAGCCAGGCCTTGGCACCTAAAGATGTAGGTACCCAGAGGGGCTCCTAGAACCAATCTCCTCTGGATGCAGAGATGCCTACATTATTTTTGACACATCATAAATTACATACATTATAGGATGTCATGATGTTTTGATATATGTGTGCAATATGGAATGATTAAATCAAACTAATTAACATATCCATCATCTTGATAACCTGTAATTTTTAGGGAAACTTTTGAAATGTACTTTCTTGGTTGTTTTGAAGTATACAATGGTGTTATTAACTGTAGTCACTGGCTGTACCATAAGCCCAGAGCACTCCTTCTGCTTATAAGAAACCTTATACATTGATGGACAAACTCCAGTTCCTATGCCCCTCATCTCTTCATCCACAGGTACCACCAACCAGCCTATCTACTTCTATCTATTTCTGTGAGTTCAACTGTGTAAAGTTCTGCATATAGATGAAGGAAGGGGTGCAAAGCAGGGGATGCAGTCTCCCATGGAAGCTGGGCAAAGTGACAAAGGGGTGAAGTCCCCCTGGGCAAGATGAAAGCATGAATTCCATCCAGGACACTGAATTGTTAGCCTAATGAAACTCATCTGGAAGTTTTGACTCCTATAGCAGTCAGATAACTAATCTATACTGTTTTAGAGCAAAATAATTCTGATCACTCATTAGCTCAGCAATGAAAAACTAATACACAGGATATTTGTGGAAAAGTTCTGTTTTCAGTGAGACCTTTGGAAAGTTGGTAATGTGTACTTTCCCCAGCTCTTGCCTTATCCCCTTGACTACCTTTTATTTTAGTACTTATAATTATTGAGAAATTATTATCACCTGAGATTTCATTCTCTTCTACATGGTAACCTCTAAGTGCCTTAAGAGTATGTTTATATCAATAATCATTTACATTCCATGTTGCCAGGACCTAGAAACCAGCTTCACTACACTTGCTCAGAAAGTACCTGTTAAATGAACAATGAACATAAGAGAAGCAGGACTCTTTGATCTCTTCAAATGTACAGTCCGCTGTTCTTTCTTCTATGCTGTTCCCTCTATTAGCAACACTGCTTCCTTTCAAGGCTCTGAAGTCTCTTATCCAAACTTTTATTATGACATGCAACAAATGTTTCATATTTTGTTGTGCACATTTTGGACTCAAAGTCCAGGAGAGCAGAGTCAAGGCATATTGGTACTATACATACATATACATAAACATTGACAGGAATGGTGCTGATCTTCTAAATGACCAGATGGTGGAAAAGCCAACATCTATGGCATTCACAAAAACACTCGTCAGTCCACAAAACTATATCATTTCTTCCCATCAGAAAGCAAGTCTAGATTCCATAACTTACTCATAATGAGCTCCTATACAACTCATTAATTGTTTCAGAATATGCACTAGTTTATAAGGGAATAGTCAAATGAGTTGATACATGTGTGATTTGCTTATGAATATAAAACTAAACTTACAAGTTTATAATATGGTATCTCAGAATCAATGAGTACTTTGCCACTTAGTAGTTGTTCTTAATGGAGACACTTTACCTTCTTCAGCCTTCACCTTCATGGTGGTGACTGTGAATTCTCCTCACGAATGAGTAATAACAAGCCTAGATCTCCACCCTTGAGTTTTCTGAATTTCTGTGTTTCCCAGAGTGAATTTGGCCTTGAGCATCCACAGAGCAGAAAGGCTCCCCATCTTCATGCCTTCAATGCACTTTTGAGCATTTTTTTTTAATTTATGCCAGTGGATCTGCTGCAGGCATTGAAGCAGCCTATCAGTGAAGTGCTGTGGCCATCTGTATTTCAGAAGAATCCCTTAACTAGCACACACTAGACGCGGATGGAAGTTGAATCTAGGGGTCAAACCCAAGGCAAGATGATCAATAAGGCAATTCTTCCAGTCACCATGGCGATGAATGAGACCCTGACTCAAGACAGTGATGATATGGACTTAGAAGATTAACTGGACTTGAGGGCTGCTTAGAAAATGAAGTGTGCAGGCTTTGTGGCTAGCATTGCAGATGAGGTTAAAAAAATGAAAGAAAGAAAGAAAGAAAGAAAGAAAGAAAGAAAGAAAGAAAGAAAGAAAGAAAGAAACCCCAGTAACAAGATGGCTGGGTGAGCTCATGATTAAGATTAGCTATGACAGAATCCGCAGAGGTAACTGGTTTAGGGAGAGGATTATTTTCCTGAGGATGACTGGAGGCCTCTAAAAAGCTTGTCGAGAGATGTGGTGATGCTCAGACGGTAATACATTGAGCTTTTTAATTTTTGTGAGACACTGTTGGGCATGTGACATCATGTCTTTCTATTTGATGAGTGGAATAGACATCTTCCTCTCAGCCATCACACTGAAAACCTCAAGTGTTACAAAATAAAACAATGGAGTTACCTAATCTGAGTGACTCCCTGATGCATGTTTCGATCCCAGTGGCAGATTTTTCTCTATCAGTTAATGAAGAGTTGTAAGCATTAACAGTCCCGCAGGACCTTTCCAATATCTCTGATAAGCACTGAACTGTCCACCATGAAATATCACAAATAGAAGCATCATCCCATAATGAAAAAAGCATGTCATATATTGATTTCCTGCTCCCACGGGATCTTCATTAACACAGATTGTACTATTTATGAAATCTCATACCCTTTTCCTGGGCAAAATGTGCTTTAGAGAGAAGCTATGACAGATTAGATATGACAAGCGCTGTTTTGCAATTACTGCATGTCTCTGACACTGACATCCTCCAATTCATGCTCAGGATACCCTTGTGCATGTAGGATCATTAGCAATTATTTTTTAGATGAGAAAACTGAATCAATGAGCAGAGTGACAATCAATGTAAGATTTCTAACTCTATAGCCAACATAGTCAAGTTCAAATCTAAACTGAAGTGAGTTACTTAATCTCCTTGGCTTATTAGTTTATGAGAAGATAAAATATACAACAGAGAAAGATCCAGAGAACACCATCCCAAGAAGGCCTTTAACTCTGTGTTCTTCCTAGCTTTCTACTCTATTTTCCTTTGAGCTTGACACACAAGTACTGTGTTTCCTCTTGTCTTCAGTTGTTACTCTCCTCTCTCATCTATTGACAGCAAAAGTTAAGATTATTTTATCTTTAAACACATGGGTTTTCAGGTTAGCCCATTGACTTCTGTGGTGGACTTATCCACACTAACAGCGTCATTGAGTCCCCTAGACTGAAGCTGGTCTGCTGTGGTCTTCTTCCAGGATAGTATTACTCCATTCCCCTACTATTTAAATTTCTATGCATGTATGTAGATATGTATGTATGTGTGTATATATGTATGTATGATATATGTATGTACGTATGTATGTATGTCTCTCATCTAGCTTCTGAAATCTATCTGCCTATTCCTTCTCTCTCTACTTCCCTCCTTCTTCCTCACTCCAAATGGTCCAGTCTCTCTGAAGAACCCTGAATGATAATGTTATTACCACTGACTTCAGATGTGCATAGTGACATGATCTCAGCTTTCCTCCTTAGTCACTGTGTTTCAGTTTCCTCCTGTATAAAATGGGAACAATATCCGCTATAGGATCTGTTTTAAGAAATAGATAAATTACTGCATGTGAAGAACTGAGAACATCTGTCAGACTTTGTACATGGCAGTATATAAAAGAACCTTAATTAGAAAATTTACTTAGTATCTGAAGTACTTAAATGATATCCTAAATAAGCACAAAGAAACTACCAGAAGGTATTAGTGTTCGCGGTTGAATATGCTCTGCCAGCCACAGTCAACCTTCTACATTATAGGAGGATGCCACAGGTGAAGGCTTTGTAGAAAAGCAAATGTGGTTTTGAATTTTTTAAATTCTCAGAGCAAAGAGATCATTAAAGGGACCTACGTGGACCTTTGCCATTCTATTGCTGTGCCTGCGCTGTACCCTGTGGTAGACATCTAAGCCTCCGGGGCTGGCTTTACTGAGTAGGTACACACACACACACACACACACACACACACACACACACACACACACACATTTGTCCAGACATCCTTCAGACCTTCAGACCGCCATCCTTCAGGAAACAAGTACAAGTCAGTGGAGGAGGATGTGTTGGAGGTGGGATCCCAGGCTGCCAAGTGCTTGACAAGGGCTAGGAGGCTCACATTGCTCTCGGAAAATCACAAAGCACAGAAGATTTTTGTTAAGGGACGTATTTCGTCAGATAAGCAGGTAGCTATTTGTATGATAATTCTAATACTGAATATTAATTAAAATACCATTTAATAGCCTGGAAAATTGTCCTGGCATAGATCAATGTGTGGCTTCCAAGAGGCTGCCCCCACCTGCCTGGAAAGATCTTTCAGCATTAAGAACCTCGTAGGCTGAACTTGCTGTCAACACCAGCACTTCAGTCTCTCCCAGTTTCATGGCATTTTATTTTGAAAAAAAAAAAAAGAGAGAAAATGCTTTAAAATGCTCCCATTAAGCTGTCTCCATATTGTATTTGCAATCTGCACTATTTTATATGTCCATTAAAAGTTTAAATGTAAAAAGAAAATTAAAAGCATTAATTTTTAAAGCTTGAGAGTGCATAAGAATAAAAGGAGAGAATCAGTACCATTAAAGGCCCAAATCCTCACTACTGGTCAGCTTGCTCCTCCCCTCGACTGCTGGTCTGGGCTGCCCAGTCTTGGATGTCTGCCCCTGCCCTGCTTTGTGGTTCTCTGTTCTGCTGGAGGCTCAGTTTCTATGAACAGTTACCTACTCGCTGGTAACCTTTGCTAAGAGTGGAAACGAATAACATTTAAAATTGGAAAAAGACTGTCCACTTTACCGATGTAAAAAATTTGTTTTTAAAAATCACCATAGTTCTGGGTTTAAGCCTTTATTCTTGAAATTCAGGAGTAAACAAAGCCCTTAAAGACATCTCCAAGCAGCAATCAGAACGGCTAATGACCATCTGCTGCCAGAGCCTTGTCGGGAATGCTACTGAACATTCATTACCACGAGTCTTCCGGTAAGTCCTGCTCGCTTTTAACTCAGCTAAACTTATCTTTTTATTCAAGTTTCACCAGCTCAGAGCCAGAACCTCACAGTTTCAAAATCTAGAAGGTCTCCATTGAGGAAACTGGAAACTGCACATGTGCAAGGGCCTCCAACGCTGGTGCGGACACAGTCTTATCTGGCCCCAGGTTTGAGGATGCATTCTAAAGTATCAGGGAGTGGCTCTCAAAAGATCACAGCACAGGGTGCTCTTGATTGGCACTCACAGCATTTTTTAAATATCCCAAACACAAAAGACTTCTGCTTGCCCTGTTCTTAGGCAGATCCTGGCCAGCAGAAGATTCTGCTCAAGTTTTGTCTGGTGTGGGACAATTGTCTGTATTCTGACAATTATATTTTAAATAAAATTATATTTTAAATAAATGCTGATTGGGCAGTATACAGGCAGGAATTACAGGCTGGTTAATGAGAACAGGAGAATTCTGGGAAGAAGGAAGCCCATTCCTCTGCAATTTTGGCCCAGTCACAGAAGAAGCAAGATGTAACTGCCTTGCTGAAAAAGTAACCGAGCCATGTGGCTAACATAGACAAGAATAATGGACCAATATAAGTTATAAGAGTTAATAAGACACCTGAGCTAATGGGTCAATCAGGTTCTAGTTAATGTAGACTGATGGAGGAGGGTCATCTGTCTATGTGTTAATTTCATTGGTTAATAAAGAAACGCCTTGGCCTTTGATAGGACAGAAAATTAGGTAGGCAGAGTAAACAGAACAGAATGCTGGGAGGAAGGGAAGTGAAGCAGACGCCATAGCTCTCCTCTCCAAGATGGACACAGGTTAAGAATCTTCCTGGTAAGACACCACCTCATGGAGGCCCTTGCACATGTGCAGTTTCCAGTTTCCTCAATGGAGACCTTCTAGATTTTGATTAACTTTGTTAATAGAGATGTGAGAGTTAGCCAGTAAGAGGCTAGAGCTAATGGGCCAAGCAGTGTTTAAAAGAATACAGTTTGTATGTAATTATTTCAGGTAAAGCTAGCCGGATGGCCGGGAGCTGGGAGGCCTGCTGCTCCTACAGAATGGCGCTCCAAAGTGGTAAACTGGATCCATGTAAAACCTGAGAGGGCTTAACAAGGAGAGAGAGAGTTTAACACAGCTCTGCGCTGTTTGTGGGTGGCTTGCCGCAAAGAAATTTTCCTGACTCAGCAGCAGGAAAAAACTGGCTGTTTTAAAATGCCAGACTTCTGGGCTGTGCCGCCATCATGATCTCTGTCTGGTTCCTTCGGGAGACAGAGCTTTTGAATGGGTTTTTGTAATTAAAGTGATATGGCTTGGTTGATGGCAATGTGGACTGCTGTGTGTCTGGAACTTTGTGCAGCTTAGGGGCACTGAATGGCTCTGAGGCAAAAGGGGCTCCAGCTCTACTCCACCATGCTGAAGTGTGCTGAACTCGGGCAGGAAGGATCATAATTATCATAATAATAATGCAGTTAGACCTCTGTATGATTTCTTTGGGACTTAATGATTGCGGGAACTGGGCAGGGCAGAAACCCCAGCAACAAAAGTTCAGTTGTTCAGCTGTTGAAGAGGGCAGCAGCCAAGCTCAAGCTTGCTGACAGCATGTGGAGAAAGGTGCTAATAAATGGTGTAGGAGGTCCTTCTGTCTTTGTTGCTTTGGGCCCTTGATAGGGAAGAACTTAGGTAGGCAGGGGGAAATTAAATGGAATTCTGGGAGAAAGAAAGGCAGAGTCAGAGAGATGCCATGGATCTACGGCCGGAGGTAGACATGCTGAAACTTTTCTGGTAGGCCACGACCTCATAGTGAAATACAGATTAATAGAAATGGGTTAAATCAAGATGTGAGAGTTAGCCAATAAGAGGCTAGAGCTAATGGGCCAAACAGTAATTTAATTAATACAAGTTCTGTGTGGCTAGCCAGGCGGGCCAGAAACAAACAAGCCTTCCTCCTTGCAACAAATGAACGTACACAGTCTCAGACTTGGGGTAAATTACTGTTGCACCCTGCTTGTGCATGTGAGTGGGCAGTGTGTTCCCAAGGTCAGAACCACACTGCCGCTTACACAGCCCTGAGACACACAGGTGGCTTGTGCAGTTCCTCTCATTCCACAAAAGCACCAACATGAAGCACAATTAATAAAATCTCAGAGCCAGAAATTGGGGTTCAACCTGAAGGTCAGAAAAGCAATACAGTCAGCCACGGGCTCGTACCTCTACCTCAGTTTGAAATGGCGATTCTGCTTCCAGGAATCTCAGACTGAGACTGAGGCTGAGAGCTGTCTCCTTCCATTTTATAATCCTCTCTAGTTCTGGGGTGAAGGGTGTGCGCCACTGAGATTAAGTCGTGCAACACCTGATTTCTATGGCAAACTAGTGTGACTGGGATTAAAGGTGTGTGTCATTGCTGCCTGGTCTATAAGGCTGGCTAGTTTGGCTGTTTTACTTTTCTGAACCTCAGGAAAGCTTTATTTATTAAAATACAAATGAATTGCCACCACACCAACACATGCAAGCGAGGGACTTCTGATGCATGTTCCATTAAAATTAGAATTTAAGTTTAGGCTTTAAACTTTGTAAATCTGTCTTTTTGTGTAATAGTTCACATCAACTTTTTCCTAATTAAAAATACAATTTGATTTACAAAACAAAATGGCTGGCCTAAAGATGACCAAAATAATTAGAAAATTTCTATTAACTCTTATTTACTACCACTTAGATGTGATATTTAAGATTAAAATACTAAATTGTTTTCCATGAAGAAAGACTTTTTATGATCTTGCCAAGGAAAAATTTGAAAGCGTGTCATAGACAGTAAAGCAACTTAGAAAATGCTGATTGGGGCAAAGTACAGGGAGCTATTGATGAGTTCCATGTCTCCACAGCACAGGACAAAGCACATTCTGTATTTATTTATTATCGAAGGAGTCCTCACTTACAATTAATCATAGATTATAAAGAAGGCTTCCTTAATCTACGGTGTAGAGCTTGCTTCTTTGCTTTATGTGGCATTACTCACGCAGATGGCATAAATAGCCCCAGAAAGTTAAACAACAGCCCTAGACTACAATGATAAATAATAGGACAGAAAAATATTAATGGACAGAAGAAAGAGAGGATACATTATCAAGGGAGCAGGGAGAAGGGACGGTGAGCATGATTTAAAGTCTGCTGGGAATGGATCGGTCATTCCAGGAAGAAAACGCTTACATCATGCTCCTGGCAAACTCACCCTCCCGTGTCACATTTCACGGCAGACTCGAGACTCTGGCTCCAGCTTGGAGACTGGAAATGGGGGAACTGAACACTTAGGCTCGGGGGCTGCATTCATCATTTGGGAATGGGGGATTGTTAGTCTTATCTCTAGCAGGATGCTCTTCTAATCTCTGTCCCCCTGTCTGTCCCCCTGTCTGTCTGTTACCCCCCACCTCTCTCTCTCTCTCTCTCTCTCTCTCTCTCTCTCTCTCTCTCTCTCTCTCTCTCTCNTCCCCCCCCCCCTCTCTCTCTCTCTCTCTCTCTCTCTCTCTCTCTCTCTCTCTCTCTCTCTCTCTCTCTCACACACACACACACACACACACACACACACATCATGATTGTTTCTTGGCTGAAAGCATGAATAGGCTAGGTACCTCAGCATAGAGTGTGGCGCTGTTTATTACTCACTTGCTGGAGCGGTCCAGATGTCAGAGAGACAGCAGAACCTTCTGGGGAGGCAAGTAGCTTCCTCAGTGGCTCAGTGTGTGGAGGACAAGAGATGACATGTAAAACTATGGCTCTGCCGAGGTTCACCGGCAATGCCCTTAGGGGCAATGCCCTTAGGTTTCCCTGTAGCTTTGCAAGAAAACGTGAGTGGGGCCAGAGAGATGACTCAGCAGTTTAGTGCAATGCTCTTGCAAAGAACTTGAGTTGGGTTCCCAGTGCCAACAGGGGGTGTGGGTGTCTAACAACCACCTGTAATTCAAGCTGTGTGGGAATCCAGTATCTCTGGCCTGTGTGGGCACTGGCAAAAGTAGTTACAGGGCTCTGCTATGGTGTTAGGCTGGGTTTGGTGTAAGTGGGATAAGGAGCAAGCAGGCTCAAACCACTACATATGGGACATTTAACCATGCTAAACCACTACATACGGGACATTTAACCATGCTAAACCACTACATACGGGACATTTAACCATGCTAAACCACTACATACGGGACATTTAACCAAGTTAAACCACTACATATGGGACATTTAACCATGCTAAACCACTACATATGGGACATTTAACCAAGCTAAACCACTACATATGGGACATTTAACCAAGCTAAAACTGACACCAACATGACTAGATTTCAAACAATCGATGTCAAAAAAAAAAAAAAAAATGGAGGTTGAAGCAGCAGCCACAGCAAATGAACAATGGCTACAGAAAAGCTAAAATTTGAGGATCCATCTTTCTAAAACTACTTTCCCAGGAGGCTTGACTTGCAGTAGGTTGAGCCTAAGGATGAAAGTATTCATGGAGCTTCCCCGGAGCTAGAACACCAAATGTTTCCAGTTGCTCTCCTAGACTGAGTTCCTCCAGGCCATTAACGGGAAGGAGGACAAATGGGGCCAGTGAAGAGAGAAGCATTCCCACCCCAAACTGATGCAGACCCCAAGGCCAATGACTCTTTTCACCAGAGAGGCAATTAGCTTCTCTCCAAACAGGGTAGTAAGAGACTACTGTGTGAAGCTGGGACAGAGATGGTACAGGTTCCACAGGGACAGTGGAGCTCTTCTTATTAATTTTTATTTCACTAAGCACACGTGAAAAGTTAAAAGACCAGGTGACTTAGTTAGTGTTACTGTTGCTGAAACAGAACAAATGCCATGACCAAAGAACAAGCTGATAAGGAAAGGGTTCATTTGCCTTACATTTCTGCATTGTAGTTCCTGATCAAAGGAGGACAGGATGGAACTCAACCAGGGCAGGGACTTGGAGGAAGTAGCTAATGCAGAGGTCATGGAGGGGCTTTCA